CACTTCTGGTGCTGCTACCATGAGATGAAGGGGAAAATTAAAGTTGTGAAAGTGATTGTCCCTTCCACTATTATACTAGATATTATGACAGCCGTGTACTCATATTTTGCCATTTATGTGATTTTTACCATTGCACCTGGCATCAGCCCCCTCTCTCAAAGCAAGAAATCTAGTAGCCAGGTTGACACTTTCCCTCCTTCACTCCTTATACCATAAACTCACATCAAGCGCCATCAACTCTGCCACCAAATACATGTCATACTTTTTCTTTTCTCTCTATGTCCATTCTGCTATTATCTGTTTCCTACTCTTCAGCAATAGATTCCTGTCAAAATCTCTTTCCATTCATTCTTCCCAGTCCATTTTCTAAATATGAACTGAGGTGATAAAAATATATATATATATAAATCATATTATTTACTACCTTCTTAGAACCCATTGTCTTCCCGTTGGACTTAATGGCCCTATATAATCTGACCACTGTTTATCTTCCCAGACTCAGTTTATTTTTCTCCTGCCTCAATTCACTGTACTCCCACCCTCATCTGGATGTTGTATTCTAACAGACTACACCCCCCCCCCCATTCAAGCCCAATGTTTCCTCAGACTTCAGAGAATTGGATAGAACATAAAATACCAGCCCTAATGCTAAAGCTAGGATGCAAATTTGATAAACTTGTCTTAAATGCAGTGGAAACAATTAAGAAATCACCCACACTTTGCAAATAAAATGTCTGGAGAGCAATGCCTAACCACAAACAAGATGAAAGAAGTGACAGGGTAGCTTATGCAAATATTCTACAATGAAAAAGCAAAGAGGAAAAAAGAACGCAGCATGTAAAATCTGACAAGAACCCGTCATAGATGAGGAGTAACTTGAAGGTACAGGAGATTCCTTCCAACTGTTTCATGCTATAGATCAACTTAATGAGAATTTGAACTCAGAAAAACAAGCTGAAAGACAAAAAAATAATAACAATGACATGAAATGGGGAGACTACAGACCTAAAGAAATATAAATAGGGCCGGCCCGGTGGCGCACTGCTACAGTGCGCCGCTTGAGAGTGCGGCGGCGCTCCCGCCGAGGGTTCGGATCCCACATACAGACCAGTTCCCGCTCACTGGCTGAGCGAGGTGTGGGCGCAACACCAAGGGTTGCGATCCTGTTGCCGGTCCGGTCCGGTACGGGTGCGACACTGAGGGTTGCGATCCGTTGCCGGACACGAAAAAAGACAAAAAGGAAAAAAAAAAAAAGAAATATAAATAAATTAGATACAACAAGAACTAGAATGAAAATTGAATTACTGATAGATGGTTAACTGAGATAATTCCAATGAGTACAGATGAAAAGTTGGAAAAAAAATTGGAGAAAAGCAAAAACACCTGCAAGAAGGTGATTCAATATAAATATATTTGCTATTACTAAAAAAAGAGCCTAACAAACAAAACAAATGGATTGAGATAGCACAGGGTGTTTTGGTAAAATTTTATCATTTCTCAATGACAAGACCTGATTTGAGAAAGTTATTGAACTTTTAGGATAAAGGACAAATTGTTGTTTGGGAAGCCCCAGGTAGTTCTGTTCTTCCTGCTAACTGGGGTCATGTTCGGTCTCTGCAGAGCCTTTGCCTTGGTCTTTGGGGCAGCCAGATGCTGCGATTGGGTTACCAGGCGATAGTGGAGGGTGGAGCATGTAGCATGATGGTTATTGAGTTGCCTACCAGCATGGAGGGGCTTCTGAGGGAGATGGCTGTAGCTCTGTGGAAGACACCTGTTTCTGAATTCCGTAGGTTTGTTTTTGCTTGTATGCTTGTCCAGGTCTTAGAACTAGGTTGTTCAGTATTCTATCTTGCACCCAGCTCTCACAAAAAGGAGAATTTATTTGGCACATAAAATTTCTTATGTTTTATTGCATCCATATTGTTCTTGTCTTGTTTTTGCTTCTCTGTGTTGTGAAATGATTGACAGTACCTCTGTGGAAGACACTTTTTTCTGAATTCCCTAAGTTTGTTTTGCTTATGTGCATGTCCAGGTCTTAGAACTAGTTGTTCAACATTCTATTATCTGGCACCCAACTCTCACAAGAAGGAGCATTTATTTGGACATGAAGTTTCTTATGTTTTATTGCATCGATATTATTCTTGTCTTGTGGTTTGTTTCTCTGTGTTGTGAAAAGATTGACAGTCTGTTGTATAAATATCTTTTGATAGATCACCTTAGCCATGTTATGGGGACCTGCCTGTAGCTAAGTGTCTCTGACAAGCTCTTGGGCTGACATTTTGTCTGAGGAGGAGCAAAATGCATTATGATACAGATTGAACACTGCCCATGTCACTTGAAAGAGACAGGATTGGATCATCTGGGAAATCGTTTCTGTGCTCCTTCTGTTTCCTCTATTTCAAACTTAGGGAAGCAGGCCTCTGGCGTGGACATAAGGTGTATGTGTGTGGTTAGAAGCCATGGAAGTCCTTCTCAGGAAACATTTTCCATAGCCAGAATTCCACAAAAGTATTGCAGTGGTATGCAATGCATTTTGTAAAAACACTTTCCTGAGTGGATTTAAGTCATTTCTATGTCAAGTAAAGTACAATATTGTGTCTTAAAAAAAAGAGAGAGGGCTGACTAGTTAGCTCACTTTGGAGAGCATGGTGCTGATAACACCAAGGTCAAGGGTTCAGATCCCCATACTGGCCAGCCGCCAAAAAAAAGGGTAGAGGGAGAGAGAATGAGAATGATTGAGAATTCTTCAGGCTTCCAGGAAGAAAAACAAACCACATAAGAAGGGGTGGGGTGGGGTGGAAATCAAGCTGACCTCAGACTTCTGCATAGCAACATTCAAGGGAGCAGCATCTGAAGGAAAGAAAGGATGGCCCAAGAATATTATACCCAGCCAAGATGTTGTTCAGCTGTAAAGCTTGCAAGTCGATATTCTTAAACATGAAAGAACTCAGAGAAAGGAGTACATATGATCTCTACTTAAAAAAACCCCACTTGACAGTGAAATCCAGCAATTAAGAATTAAAGAGCTCAAGAAGAAGTTGTGGTAAGAGGACTGTGAGGAGATTGACTCAGCTTAAATATAGATTCAGTACTAAATTACTGTGAAATTATAGTTATAGAATGCAATGTGAATGTTAAGAACCTGGACAATATAAAAATTATATAACAAAAATTAAGAGAAGAAATGGGAGGAAATATGAGTGCTGTGGTTTCAACTTTCAAAGCCAGAAGTTAGTGGATTCTGTCCAAAATCAAATTATGTATAATCTTAAAACTAAAGTGAATTCAGCCTCTGAATAATTTTTTATGTATTTTTTAAAATGTGGAATATTTCAGAAATACATAAAATTATAGCTGATATCAATTTATGTGCTGTTTATATTCAGTAGATGTCACCATTTTGTTATTTGCTTCAGATCATGTATAAAATATTTAAGAGGAAAGGAAAGATTTAGAGAAAAATAACAAATACCAATACATTTATCACCCAGGTTAGGAAATAAAACATTGTCAAAGGCCCTTGTATGCCCTCCAAAATCCTAGAAATAATCGGTGGCCAGATTCTGGTGTCGTTCATTCACATACATATCTTTATACTTAAAGTACATATGAAAATTTGTTAAAATTAATAAATTTTCTATTTTTAGTATTTGTAGAAACAATGTCCTGTGGTGTTTTTTTAGCTTAACATTGTTTTGAGATTTATCTCAATATATGTTGCTTGAATGTATTTACTTTTTATTCTGTGTAATTATTCTCTTATATACATATACTGATTATTATTCCATTTTCAATCCTGTGGTGTTTTTTTAGCTTAACATTGTTTTGAGATTTATCTCAATATATGTTGCTTGAATATATTTACTTTTTATTCTGTGTAATTATTCTCTTATATACATATACTGATTATTATTCCATTTTCAAATGATGGACTTTTATTTGTTTACTTTTTTGCTATTGTAATAAAACTTTCTTACATCTTTTTGTTTATATATAGTAATGTTTTTCATAATTTTTTAAAAACTTGGATTATCCAAGTAAACTTTTACAGAAAAGAAACATGTACTTAAGGTATAACAGTAGCATTGGTTCCCTTTTGGTTTCTTTTTTTCTATTAATTTTATAAAAAGTAAAATTAACACTTTATTAAAAGTATCATCTATAATATGATCCCATTTGTGTAAATATATTTTGTCAATCTGTTCTTCTATCTGTGTATACACATAGAAGTCTGGAATGATGTTTACTTAATGTTAATGGTATTCATTTCTAAATGATGGAATCGGGATTATTTTTTAAACTTCTAGCTCTTTATTCTTTTTTTTGTATTGGTTACATTCTTTACAATGAGCATGTATGATTTTTATGAAACCAATACAGTGATGTTTTTCTCCAAAACAAAAACTAAAAGTGAATAATTTAAGATACTGAATGTGGTTATTCAGTAATGCATGAATAAATATAAATTGCATGGTTAGAAATATAAATTTCAAGAGGTGCTTTTTTGTATGTTAAAGGTCTTTTCATGTACTCATAGTATAATTGAAATATTATAATGGTATTCTGGCTTTCTTGGAAGTATGACTTTTTAAATCAATTAGATAAAGAAAAAGAAAGGATAGTAATTTTCTTTTATCATCCCTTTTTCAGTACTTCCATTTCTCATGATTAAATGAAAGAAAAGTTATTGTAAGAAAAGTTTAAATCACTTGAGTAGAATGCAACCTTTAAGTGATTTAGACTGCGTGTAGAAGAGGTTTTCTGGAAGTGTTAGAAGCTTCTTGTCCCAGGGTTGATTAGTCTAGCTCCCCTTCCTGAGTTCTTAGGTGCCCAGTGGGTGTAGGTGTCAGGTTTGTATGCCAAGGTGACAGATACCTCCCTATATCTGTGGTAGATTTAGTGAGTATCTCCAAACTGGATTATATCACAAATGAAAGAGTATGAGATGTTCTGCTTTGTCATTTGGGTAAAAATATGATCTGGTTTTATTTTTTTTGTAGGTATGATCTTGCTTCTAGGGAGTGGCTTACACTAAACCATTCTGTGAACAGTGTGGTTGTTAGATATGGTCATTCTTTGGCATTATACAAGGTAAAATATTTCCACTCTGTACTCAACAAGAAACTCAACTTGTCCTCTGTTACTTTATGTATTATATAATTGAAAAGCTATTCAGTGTTGGTTTTAAATTGGGGAAAACTTTCTATTTTGGGGGGGTGGTAGTATATAATTGGCTAAGTTATAAGTGGAAATTAAAGTTGAAACTTTTTTATTTTTATTTATTTATTTATTTTTTCCTTTTTGTCTTTTTTCGTGACTGGCAATGGATCACAACCCTCAGTGTCGCGCCCGTACCGGACCAGGACCGGCCACGGGATCGCAACCCTCGGTGTTGCTCCCGCCCCTCGCTCAGCCAGTGAGCGGCCGGTCTGTATGTGGGATCTGAACCCTCGGCGGGAGCGCCACCACACTTCCCAAGTGGTGCACTACAGCAGTGCGCCACCGGGCCGGCCCAAAGTTGAAACTTTTTTAACCCAAGAGATTTTAATGGATTCAAACTGTACAGGGGTATTATGATTATGGTACTAAATGGTTTGAAATGTAAATTAAAAGTACAGGTTAGTTTTTAGGCTCATTAGCAAGTTCAGACAAGAATAGCCACATTGTAATGTGACTGAATGATCATTTTCATTTCCTTGGTTTTATAGGTGTATAGTAAGATGAGGCAACTTCATTTTTTTTTAGGTCATTTTGTACTGTAAAGGATCTCACATGAGGAAGTTCAAGAAAAGTAGCTAAGTGTCAGATACATACAAAATGATTAATTTTTTTTCCTATTGTTCTTTTCTTTTTTTTTTTTTTTTTTTTGAAAAGATGACCGGTAAGGGGATCTTAACCCTTGACTTGGTGTTGTCAGCACAACGCCCCCCCCGGGGGCAAACCGG